CGTCCCTCGCCCTCGATCCTCTATCTCATACCATATCCTCTATCTACCTCGATCGCTCCGTCCTCTTCCGTCACACGACCACCGCTATTAGACCTCTCTCCCTCTTTCTCGTTCTTTCACGTTTCCTCACGACTTCTCCTCAAACACTCCAAAGAGACGTCTCGCACCGCTGTACTTGGATTAGATTATCCAAGCTGAGTCAAACAATGGGAAAACGCGGCTCGACGGAATTCCGCGTGGCGACTTCTTATCGTTACGACAACAAGAGGTGTATATATATATATATATATATATATATATATATCATATACACAGAAATATATAAGTCATGCATATAACAAAGTCGGATTATGCATGTATATACACGTATTAAACACACAGATCTCAAAGGCATGTGTATAGTGGCAGGTATGTATACATATATGAATGTAAAAAAAAGACCTAAAAGGAATGGAGAATAAGAAGCATTGAGTCTCGACAAAAGTCGTCTCGCGGAAGTCCCTAAGCCGATTATGACGCTTTACATATCAGGTCTCCTGCATGAATATCCATACATCCACCGGAAGTCTTTCCCATTGGCTACAAAGCGAGTAACCCATGTCGCCGTTCCAAGTGTGCGGGGATTTACCAACGGCAAATTCCGTATCAGGACGCAGTGGAGATATCAGGAGTTTTCGAAGGGTCTCCGAAACGTATCGGCGGTATGACGATTTAAGATGGCTACTAGTTTGCTAATAGCATATAAACTTAGTACCGTATACACCCATATACATATATACTTGAAAGACTGTATACATATACCCACATGCACGAGGTGTGTGTATATATGTATATATAAGGCTGATTCGTACTCGGTAGGTAAAGAAGGTGAAGGAAGAAGTTGTAGCTGGGTAAATGGAAGGCAGAAAGGAGGCAGAGGGCAAAGTTGGTGTCCAGGAGAAGAGAGCGTAGCAGCACTCTAAGCGTGGATGTCAGTGACCGGAGCATGACCCCAAGATCATTGCACGACTATAGCCCCTTGGACTCCCTCTTTTCCTTCATCCATCCGTAAGTCCTCCTCGTTCTCTCTTTCTCTCTCTTCCTGCTCTCCGTCCAGCACGTTCTTCGGGCCTTCTCGCTCGTCCCCTAAATGTCCTTATATCTTGGTACCGTGATGCGCTGGTCTCATCCAAGTCCCTTGAACACTATGGTCGCCATTGGTAGGTCCCCAGGTCACTTCGGGCCCGACGGTACGTGAACCATGAACTGACTCGGGTGACCGGAAGTAAATACGACCGGTGCGTTAGGGCCGGTCGAGTGGGAGGAGAGAAAAAAATACCGGGGAAGGAGGGGGGGGGGGAATTCGAGCAGCCAGTAAAGATCTTCGGTAGCGGGAGATGAACCGGGATCAGGAATGACTTCTGGCGAGGGGAGGGGGTGGTAGGGAAAAAGTTGTACACTTCAGAGAATCAATTTAAATACTTGGCATTGCTGAAATTCGTTCGAGATGACCTATGACCCTCTCGGGGTATATGCTGTTCGTCTCTTTGTTCGATGGTCTCTGAGAGCTGGCCAAGAAGAGTCGCCCGGGATGAACTTCCCCCACTTCTCCCCCACGTATCGCTACATAAAGACGGTTATTCTGTGTGGACAGGGGGGAGGAGGGGGGAGTTCACTTAAAAATCCGTGAAGGAATCATTGGGGAGGAATGTAATTGCCTTTAATGAGATAGCGTATGGG